CAGATGCAGAGACAACAGCAGTGGACACGCTCATACCACTATTGCAAAAGGTTTGGTAGGAAGAAGGGCTACCTTGTCAAAATCTCAAAGAAGGGAGACATAAGCCTATGCAAGAACTGGGGGTAATCATGCTCCGGTCCACACCCACCCAAGCAAAATATTAAGCTGCATAATCCTGGAGAGACCAAATTATGGCCGGAACGGGCTGATTTCATGAAGAACAAATCATGTATGGATCGAATTGCAACATCAGGCTACGCATCATCATGAAACAGAGCATAGAATGACAGTCAACTCAACAAAACCTCAACTTCATCGACTTTTAAAAGTCAGCGTCAATTGACAAGTACTTTGACAGGCAGCTGCTTCACCATTACTGTTTAACTGCCATAAACCTCTATCAACCTCATTCAACAGCAATATGCTATATGATGCTAAGTGCCAAGTAACTCACAATGGAAAGCTCAGTGACACCTTTGAAGTGAAGATAGGGGACAGCAGTAAGACCAGGCTGCCGCACACTATCACCGACCATCTTCCTGATTGTGGTCAACTCGACTCGACTCTGCTCGACTCGACTGGATCATGCAACAAACAACTGTGAGGAGCGAGAAGAGTGGTATACGATGGCTGAAACGATGAAAAGACACCAGGAGAAGATTCGGATTTCGCTGCCGATAACGATGATTTATGTCTAACATCTTGTGGCACAAACTCGAAGATCTACAGGTGAAAAGCAAGAAGTTGACAGAAGAGGGAGGGCAGCGAAGACGGGACACCATTCAAGTGAACGTAGAGTAGATGACAGGGGTGATGAAGATACTCAACCAACAACAACAACAGCAACTACAAGAACAAGAAGAAGAAGCATCGACCACCATGAACGGGAGAAATCTGAAGGAAGTTGTCTCCTTCACCTAACTACCCAGCCAAGACAGCATCGTTCCAACTACAGGTGGCGGTGGCACAGATGAGAACACGAAAGCCATGATCGGAAAGACAGCAAGACAGACAGACATTCATCATTCTGAGGTAGTCAGTGTACAGATCTACAGCACTGCACTGAGCATAAATAACATGATCCGCATTTTCAACACCAACGTCAAGTCAGTGCTTCTATGTGATGGTTCACAGACTTTGTGCGTCACGGAAAGCGTCTCCAACAAACTACACACATTCATCACCAATGAACCCACAGCCCAATAAATATGCAGCAGAAAGTGGAGATGGATTGGATTTGACATAGATTGAGAAGACTATTTGGGGACATTAGGCACTAGGCCAGGCCCTTGAGTGGAACCGGCATGTGAAACGATGAGTTGGGCGTTGTAGCTGAGGGTGACATGGAGGAGATGGTGTGAGGAAGAAATGAAATGTTGCGGGGAGTTGTTGTTTTCCACTAGTTGAAATTTTTAACCGGATATTCTTGTAAACAGATTGAAACAAAAAAGTATACATCACTCTTTGATAATGTTAAACAACTGTAACGCAGCAAATATCTATAAAATGTCCTCATGTTTGTTTGGGCCTTTTTGTACTTCGGTATGTATGTCATCCTGGTCAGGATTTTGTAATCAAATGTAATACTAAACGTTTTCAGGTTATCAGCACAATCTATTTGTAGAAATGAACTATTAATCTAAAGTTGTTTTCAACTGATGAGAACTGCTGGCATTAGTTATGTTTATTTCGAATTGGACAACCACAGCCTCAAATATCTTTAGATTTCACAAAGTGAGCAGATATGTTGAATTTTGCAGCTGGAGCAATACACTGTGCATGCCACCCAAAGTAATTTTTTAAATCGTTTTGTTGATTACAGTCCTCTTCCAACTGAAAAAGATCTATCGTTTTATCTTATATAGCTGCGCAGAGAGTATATTTCTAACTGTACTCATGCAACGAAGAAAAGAATTCGTTGCTATCAGCAACCACGGGCAGTAATTATGCTTGAAATATTACCAAAACAAACTTTTAATATTGTGTGTAAACCTTTCATTAAAAGGTTTTACTGATAATAAATTAATCCATTCCACAATCTACGAAATTTCTATTGATACGTCTACTCTGCCTACTCTTTGAAATCTCGTACATTTAAAACATTTTGAAGTTAAACAATGTTTGGTAATTATTATCATCCACCCTCCTAACTTTTGCTTCAAAAGCATTCACCTTTTGTTCCTAAAAGTAGTCAGCCTTCCTATCACATTCCCAACGATGTCATCTAATTTAACCATTTACATTAACTGTTACCGGTTGATTCCATCAATATTTAGGTTTCGAAAAGCTAAGAAGAATCGTCGAAATGTTAGAAATAGGTTCATGCTATCCTGCTACACTTGTTGCTTTCGTGCTGTTCAAGTTTGAAGATTATACGTGTAGAAAATTAATGAGGAAGTATACTTCGGAAATTTTTACTAACGTACTCCTAAGTAATATTTTCTGTGTACTTTGAAGTTTCTTTAGAGATTGGATTTGTTTTACGGGTAGGGTTGCTAGCCCTAAGTCCAACCTTCCCTCTTTACCTGGGCTTAGGACCGGCTAGTAACTAGTGAACTAGTTAACTCTTAAGTAATAAAATAGAATATTATCGAATAGTTAGTTATTCGTTACAGCATGGTCAGATTGGATGAGGTAAGGGATCTTCCAAAAATTTTGTTACACGAAGCATAGTGTTGTAGTGGTCCCAATAATAACCATCATTCCAATGATAATCTTCACGTAACTTACCTAGAAATAATTATTTTATGGTAGTGAGCTCCACATTTTGTGCATGGTCATTTGGACTCCAAATGTTGTAAATGAATTAAAACTAATAACTTATATTTTGAAAGGGCAGATTAGGAAATTCTTCAACCAAAAATTAGTGTTCTTCAGCTCCTAGGTCATTAGATAACTGCCTAAAAATAATTCAAACAAATCACTGATGGGTTTACTAACTCAAGCTAACAATCAGATTTAATCCCACTTTGGTGGTCTGAATATTTTCTTATCCAGATATTATGAAGATAGGAAAATATCTGTTGATGTAGAATGGAGTTTGTTTTGTGAAACAGTGAGTAATATCAGCTCTTCCCTTGCTTACATAATAAAGTTGCATAAAATTTATTAGATATCTGAAATTTTTGACTCTAATTTATTAGTATTTAGGAACTAACCACAGAGCTCAGGTCATTCTTTACGAATGAAAACATCATTTAATTGAAACCATCCAGGGATAAATAGTTTATTTCTACCTATTTATTTAGCTAGTAAAGACCACTTTAAGTACAAATGATGCAGCTAGGTGGACTGCTGTTACGTTTACCGAACACTTTCTCTTTTTACGATGGAAAGATGGATAGAATACAGTAATATGAAATCCTGCCAAAAAACCCAATAGTTAGATTTAATATATATATATATATATATATATATATATATATATATATATATATATATGTATATATATATATATCGACGTAGACGATAATAATGATGTATCAAATCGACGAACTGGTCTGTTTCAATAACATTGACATGTGTTGCTTCATATCACATAAGAATCATATTTTTCACCAAAGTGATGAAATACCTTCGAATTAAAGTGTAATGTCTGAATTAAATTTTCTTATGCTTACGTTAATACAAAACTTAGATAACCTAGTGGGAGTTACCTGAAGAGAAATACTTTATTACGAACTTTTATAATCCCAGAAACTAGTAAAAATAGTAAGTATACAAATGGAACTCCAGTGAAAGTGCTCATTCACGTGAAAGTAGTACTTGCAACGCCACACTAGGTCGATGGACTACCCGGGGGGATAGGGAAACACATGATCTTGCTTGTTATCGCGAAATCATACTGCAGAGCTTGAAATTTCACTTGCACAAATCACATCCGTAACAAAGTTTTCACTGACTTTCAGTCTGATAGTGCCTGTGTTGAGAATCCATAGGTAGTCATCTCATGATCCACTCAGATGAATATTCATTACACTTTCAGTTAATTTGTGAATGAGAAGAGACCCAATTCAGAAAGAGATGAGGTTGCATGCAATGTCAAAAGACACAGCATTTATTTTAATCCAAACATTCTTCTAAAAATGAAGAGAAGTGGATTCTATCACTGCATCTATATGGTGCATTTTCAGAAGCAGCCAATACATTTTCAGGAATTAACTGACAGTGAATTAAAAGCATACTTCGTTGAAAAATTAAAATCTACAAAGAATGATTTGATCAAAAAGTCAGTAACGACTACCGTGAAAATACAACCAAGAAAATATGATATATTTAGGCGATACAGCTGGTAAAGCCCTTACTTTTTATTTTGTAATCTTCGGTTTATGGATAAAATTACCAAGTCTCTAATCTTATAGGACAGTCTTCTGTTCCTTGTGAATAATGGCTGTCAAATAAAAACAGTGTGGATTCTTACTGAAACTGGCAAATTATCTACGGATGATGCTTCAATATCTCACCGAGTTTTGCAGTTTTATTAACCTTTATGATACTCTTGTCATCAAAGGATTCGGCTTAATTTATGCATACACCAAGCATTCTGATCATATCACATTCTGTTTACATTCATTCTGTCTACAGTCTCACCCCTGAAATACTACTAAAAACGGGCAATATCTTTATTTAGTTTAGTTTCTAAATTGTTTTGGGAAATACCTTACGTAACCGATTATTTTCCCATTATTTTTTTGTCATTTTGTGTTTTCTCAGTATGAATTAAGCTTTATTTAATTTAGAATACCAGTAACCCTGGTGTACTTCGAGTTTATATATATATATATATATCGGAGAATATAATGTCAGTGATGTTAACCAATCATAGAATTGTTTGGAAATCAGCATTCTATTGGTTGACTTTTCAGTAATATCCTTAACCTTCAGAATGAGAACCTATCTTATTCTATCATAATGAACTAACAAAATCACAGAAGTACTGTGGAATAATTTCATTCTAACTGGCATAAATTGAGGGAATCAGTATTTCTTTGACGAATATAATGAAATTTATATCATACGTAACCAACTGTACTAAGTATAATTCCAGTGATGAAAGTGGACAAGTGTATATACCTCCAATATATTTATTTCTAGTTTTCTTAAGTCCCATAGCATTAGTAATCAGCTGTTTAGCATTAACAGTCCTAACTAGACCACAAGCTATACGCTTAGGCTCAATGCGTGTCAATTTAATTACGCTAACAATATTTGAAGCCCTGCTGAATTTGATGATATTTATGGTGTCATTATTTTATGCAACTAACTTTCCAAATGACGAACAAAATCTTTACAAAACAATTGTACATATAACCTGCTTTGTTTTAATTGGTGGTGCGTTGTGTTCAAGAAATTGGACTATTACTCTGATATCACTAGCACGTTGTGTTGCAATCGCCAAGCCAATGATGTCACGTAAAACATATTCACATTTATTTCAACCTAAATGGATGGCAGTGTGTACTATTAGCTGTATACTAACAGGATTTTTACTTAGTGCGCTGAGATTGTTTGAAATGCATATAGATGTCTGCTTAAATCAGAATAACAGAATTAAATTGGTACCCAATGCAGACTGGCGATTAGCTAAAGATTTATTCTTCACATTTCAATCAGCATTGCCGATATTAATTGTAGTATTGACAACAATTATCATGTTAATTGCATTATTTCGTCATAAATTACCTAATTTGAATCATCAGAGTATGTCAAATAGACCCACAGGAAGATTAAAAATTCACAAGAGTAACCAGAATAATACTAACATAGATAATAGTGACAATAATTTGGATGCCAATTGTTCATGTGCAAATAAACATGATTCAACGCAAACAAGACAACAACAGATTCTACTGGAATACAAAATGAATGAACGTCGTCTACAGAACCAGGCAAGAGCCACACGTATGGTTACCCTGCTCACAGTTATATTCATTTTATTTGAAGCACCTGTTTTCTTTTGTGTTACATTTGAATATAAATTTCATCGAGTACAATTTGACCTTGTAACAAATGCATTAAAAAGCTTAGTTGTATTGGATTCTTGTGCAAATGTTATCATTTATTTAGTTATGAGTAAACGATTTCGACAAGAAACTGTCCGGCTTTGGAGGTATGCCAGAAGACAAACCAGACAAGTTTTAACCAATCAGTCGGAAACGACATTCTGAGCTGAAATGCGTTTGTTTTGTCAAATAACTGTAAATATTTGGTATCCATCACAAATCCACTTTGAAAAAAGTATCCTGATTGCACATAAATGTCTACAGATGTACATTCACTGGAAAAGTAATCCATGTTTAAACTAAAGGAAAGCAAACTGTCAACTGTGACAGCAGTAAATTACTTTACATGCCTTGACAAAAATTCATAAATAATAGTCTTCAAGTGGTTATTGATTAAATCCACAAAGACAAATGTTGGGAATATAAGGGGAGGAATTCAAAAGTAACGCAAACTTTGCTTCAAAACTTGAACACTAACAGATATTATACTGTAAGTTTAATGTGATAACTTTATATGAAAACCAAAGACGTGACTAAAAACAGCATGGTCATTGCAGTGTACATAATATTGTTTTAGTATTTCTTTATTTCAAACGTCTTTACTATAAATACTTACGAAATTTAGTCTGGAAAATAAAATCATTGTGTCCAAATGACATTTAACCTTGCTTATATTACTCAGTTGCATGGAATGTGTGTACTCAACCTTTTACTACACTGCTGAAGGTATCAACTGTTCACTTAGCAGCATTATTCATGAAAAAAAATGAACTCCAATTGAGGTATATGGATGGATGGTTCCAGTTTTTCGGTACTCTTCGATTCAGATGTAAATTGTCCTGTTTTTGAAAGCAGTGTTTATTGTTTACGGTAATTAACTCATGATGGTTAATTCATCTGTACTGAAGCTAAATATGTATTTTTGGATCTATCAGAGAAAAGACCTTTTCTGAATTCTTTGTCTTGTCTGACATCTAGATCTATATTTCTGTACACTGAGGAGTGGCCTTATTTATGTTTGACTCAGAACTCATTGAGAAAATATCTCCGTGATTTATAAGTTAACAAACTGCTCTTGAAAGTTTTCATTTGAAAAAAACTAAGAATAATCGTAGCATTTCAAATGGTAATGAGAAAACTTTGTTCACAAGTGAAAGTAAGACAATCGGTTTCATTCCTTTGTAGAATGTCATTCATTCAATCATTTAAATTGTTCGAAAACTGTTGACAACTAATAAAGTCAATGATAGAGGTTTTTCAGTCTCAAAATATTGTCATTTTTGTGTTATAAAACATTTTATATGACTCTGTGAACAACTCGAAAATACAATCCGTCCCCTTCCCCTGTAAAGAAAAAACATCTGTTTCGTAATAAGCTAGTAATCAAACTGGTTACTTTTTGTACCTATATATCTTTTTTCAGATAATACAGTTTGATGAAACTAAATCTTTGATAAAATAAAGGTGCTACGATGTCATTCCTGGTTTCAAGCCTATTATAATATTTATTATAGCATTTTACTTAGGGGATTTTAGGGAATGAGTGGTTTGAAGGTTGTCCAAATCACAAATTGAGATCAAAGTAGGAATCACTATAAATATGATAGTGCTTTGCCGCTACTTTGTCCCAGTCTTAAATTCTGCAGCAATGCACATTCTGATCAACTTCCCAAAGTTGCTGTGCTCTGAATTAAAAGAAATCTAACCAACTTGGGTTCATTGAAAAAAAACCTTTATAGCAGAATGAAGAATTCACAGCCTACCGACTCTCGCCCCATTTCCTTCCAGATTCATTAGCGTACATATTTGATACATTCTGAATCGCCAAGTGTTGTCCAGTTTTAAGTGGATTTCTAGCTGACATCAATAGCATGATGCCTAACTAATAATATCTACACAAGGTGTGCTTAAAAAAGGTACATTTTACTAAACAATTCTCATATCCTCCATTAGTTTAGAAAACAAATAATACTTATGATTATGAAAGACAATAGGAGAATATATATTCTTACCGTATGTGGGACTAGACACACAGTATTTTGAGAAAAGAGAATTTCGAAGCACATACTAATTGATTAGGTTTATTCTTGCTCAAATTTACAAAAAAGGGACTACTTTCAAGCATAAATGATGTTTATTTTCTTTTGAGTACTCAAGTAACTCTTAGGGTATTCACGTTGTTTAGCGTCATTCATGGTATTCCAGTTTGTATCAGTGATCTTGAAGAAATAACGGCGAATGCGTTTAATTGTCAACAGTGACTTTCATAAAGCAATTAAACTGCATACATTCATTCGGTACATTTTTATACAACTGTAGCAGCAATTAATGGAAAATTTACAGTTGTTTTTGCAACAACAGTGTGGGAAACTGAGTAGGAATTACTACTTAAACAGATATGAGCATTCTAGATGAAAAGTAAATAAATTCGAAGCAAACGTACTATGCTTCAATTATTTGTGTTTAATTAATGAATGCCTAGTTTCTGAGTATTTATCGCATAAATGACGACTCAATGAAACAGTTAATATGACTTTTGTGACATGCAAATAAAAAAAGGATGAACGTCATAAAAATGATGGACACAGTGTAAGCCTTAAAGTACGTGTCTAAAAAAATTCTAAACACACCGAAGAATCTTCTAAACTCACTGGCGAGAACGAATGCAGTTAGTGTGCACGCGCTTGGTGGATTCAGAAGAAATATCCTCTTTAATGCGGAAAGGTGAATACACCCTATTGCACACAATTTTAAGATCGAAAACTGAATATGTTATGAATGATAAGGGTTATGAAATGTGGAGAACGATACTCGGCCGCAGCAATAAAAAATTAGTTCAGTAAACGCCATTCGTTAGTCATACAATAGTCCTTTATTACCATCCATATTCCTTAATGGAGTTAGATGTAGAATACCACGAGTCCCATTGAATGCTTTTAAATGTTTACAAGGAGCTCCACAGTTTCCTACTATACGTTGAGAGGAGAACATGGGAAGTAGTTAAGAAAAATGAATATGTAACATAAAGTTTAATTTTTATGACAACTCAAACAGTGAAAAACGTTTATGTAATCAGTATATCAAAGACAATGAAACATAGTTAAAAGGGTTCAAATGACGGTCAGTAACATTTCGTGAGTCTTTCATAATTGAAGAGTTAGTACGTGTGAGAATTCTCAATATCCAATGCTCCACAGAAATTTATTTCATATCTTCAGTTAAAAGTTATTATTTTGCGATGAAAATTAGGAGACGAGAAACCATGTGAGATACAACTGCTCTCAGTATTCCTAGAGAAATATTCTTCTCAAGAATAATGCAACGGTATCAAATATCATAAGCATAATTTACAGTTCTATTTTTAAAAGATATTGTAATTTACTTTAAAAGAAACCAACGAAAATATGGAAGGGGAAAGAAAATTAATACATTAGCATTAAATGTTGAATTTGAACGCTTTCACTAATGTACAGTGTACTGCTGACTTTCAAAGTAATTAATAGTGAAAGTTTCTATTTTGGTTTTAGTCTATGGTTCCTGAGAGACTTGCTTGACTAGAGACATCTGCTGATGGGCACACAAATGGCATAGTTATCTAAAAGCTCCATAGAGTATATTTGACAGTTTGTTTAACTGAAGGTAATATCTTAAATGTAACCAACAGTAACATTCAGAGTACTTCCACTCTTTTTGTGAAAAGATACACTTGGATCACCAAACTACTTTAATAAAGGTGTAGTCGATAACGTTAATAGCTTTTCATCTGCTTTGGAATAATTCAAGCATTTGTATTAGTCAGAATATAACATTCGATCTATCAGATTAGGTATCGAGTGCATAAACTGTTTTATATTCCTTCTATATATATTCTGCTGAAAGGAAATTCATTGAGATGCTCATTATAGGAGGGATAAGTATTTACTTTTAGTAGGATGTTTCATTAACTTATAATTTTTAAACTATGTGATTCCTTAGTGGAGACAAATGGCAGCTATTTGTTAGATCAGATCAAGTAGGTGTGCTAAAATTGGATGGTTGATGTTTGCATAAATGACATGTAAGATGTGAAGAAACTTTGTGGTCCGGTCTCTTCACGCCAATAAGTCATTTAAATCTTTATAATCAAGTGAAAGAGTGAAATCTGAGGCCTGTTAAAAATGTTTGTCCAGCTTATCTTTGCATTGGAATTCAAATTATCTCAATTGGTTGTCAATGAGCAACCAATACTTAGACCAAAAACCATACCGAATAAGTACCTATTTGTCCGGACACTCATACTATTTACCAGTTTGATCAGATATTTAACGTGTTAAGCCCTTAGATACCATATTCTTTACAAACCATTCAACATCAATAATCCCAATCCTATGCCGAATGGTTGCAAAGAATATCGTGTGACGAATACTGTGCAAATATTGTATGACGTGAATATAATTCTGGAAATTTTCTAGAAGTTGGAGGGAAAAAGATATAAAATGGAAAATATAATATGAGATGCTGATTAATTTTCCTAGAATTTTCATTCATGGTAGGTGATATTTACAAACCTTCCTGCTAGACTTATCTTCCTATTTCTACCGACTTTGATTTTCAGCTGTAAATTCCTGTGGAATTTCATATCCTCTGAATAATGGCTGGATTTCGATTCAGTAGTTGAAATTTAGTCATTCTGTCCATCAGTCAAGGTTTAATAATCATAAAAACAAAAGATTTGTTTGTTTGTTTACCAATCATGTTATTTACTAATCTTTCTACACTCATTCAAATTACTTCCTGATTTTCAATAAAGATTTTTTGTTTACTCAGTGTAATAATAATGACATTAATAACATTATTACTAATCATATTAATTAGATGGATATTGAAAACATGTTTCGAAAGCTTATGCTTTGCAGCTTCATAACATAGTGTAAGTCAGCGCGCGAATAGTTCCCAGGATGATTAACATAAAAATTAATTAAAGATTGATCATTTGTTTTTGTTGTTTTACTTCGCACTGAGAAGATCCTACTGAAAGTAACGTGATCGCAACTGTTTTTTTCAAATTTTTAATGATCTTGTATGATAAATGTGAGCATAAAATCCATGAAGTGATTTGATTGACACACGGAGAACAAAACTTATTAGTTGGGAATCACTTTTATGACCTTATTCAGATAGTTAAA